CCCACCAAAATAGCAGACTGAGACAGGGAATAGACACTACCAGAATCAGCAGGCTCACAAACAGGAAACAGTTGAGGATCAGGTCCTTGGATGTAGGGGGAGAGAAGAGATCTGGACGATTAGGTGAAAGAGTATATTTTAAGACGATGGAAGAATTATTTTATTGACTTTGAAATGACCAGTACATTCCTGAAAGGTTTGCGTAAGCTCACCAATAATAGATTCACAAGGCACCAACTGACTGACCATTTACAAAATAAGTAATTAAGAAACAAAGTGTATGCTTACCAGACATCCCCTCCCCCATTTTTAAAGATCCAAGCCTCCTCCTGCCTGGCTATCCATTCAGATTTTGTGTTATGGCTTCTAACGCCTATGATTTTTCCTTGGGGCCTTACGGCTTATTAAATTGCTACCCTCAAATCTCAAGATACAGTTTGTCCAAAGAGCAGACAAATTCTAATGGAATCCCTTCTGAATTCAAAATGCAAAGCTCTTCAAAGAGCAGGTAGCTCCTTCAGGGAGAGAATGTCCCTTGCTCTGTTCCTACAGCCACCACTTCCTGTTCCAGAGACAGAAAATGGAGAAGGAATGGTGAGAATAACGTGACCTGTCCCTTCTGTCAAGATTCTACTGCCACCCAGGCTCTGCTACAGTGCAGCAGCAACAGAACATCCCTTTCTCTACCAAGCTAAGGAGCCACTGTGTAGCAACGGCTGGTCAAAGGGCTCTTGACATATTTTCAAATATGAAGGCAATCAAAGGTGGTGTCATTGAGTAAGAGTATAACGACAGCAGGTTTGTCTTTCCTTTGGGACCTCCGAGCCAATGGGTTTTGTTGTTGTTGTTGTTATTTTGCTTATTCTGGTCTGCAAAGTACGGTCACAGGCCCTGATGCCTCCTACACATGAAGCCTTTCATATAGCAAATCTGAACCTTCTGGCAATCCCCACAATTTCTTTTCTTTATATAGTCAAAGTCTCCACTTCTCTCTGCAGCGGCTTTGAGAGACCCAGACACTGTTCAAAGATGATTCTGTGTGAACAAACTTTGTGGGGCATCTGGGAGTTCTGTGACTTCTTTTGGACACTCAGTCACCAGCTTAGAGTACGGGAGGCAATACCCTCTTTCCACCAGAGACCAAGAAGATAATACATTAGACACCAGCCTCTAGAGCAATCTCAGACACAGTGCAGTACCCTCTCTGTGGATGATCCTAAGGTCACAAAGCAAGGATAGGTAAAAACCTGATCAGCGGCCTCAGGTCTATAGGCCCAACATGAGACATGTCTTTGCTCTATATGGCTTCCCTTGAAGGGACAGTTGGTACCCAAGACTGTCTAAGCCCTTGCCTGAACCATCATCCCCATGCAATTCCTCCACCTGACAATGGGGTGCACTGGTACACCACTTTACCCCACCCCCAGGCTGATCTGCATGTCCTCCAATGCTAGGGGTGATTTACACAGCCTGCGAGAGGATTTTCCAAGAAAACACTCCACATAATTGGCCTTTGGTCGAGCTCTCCGGCCATGATTTATTTGTCTAGGACAAGCCAAGGAACGTCTCTCTCCACCTCTGCAAAGCCTCCGGTCCCGGCCTCAAAGTTCAGCAAGTTTCTGGCCAGAGAATGTTCTTCCTCTCCTCCCACTCAGCCTTTTTTCCCTGTGCCTTGCAATCTCATTTGCTAAATATACTAAACTGCCTGTATACCACGGTCTGCAGTTCCAGAATGTGCCTGGCTTCTTTTGGCTGGGAGGGTCACTCCTAAATCACTCTGCTGGCAGCTGCCACCCATTTATATCCATGACCCAAGAGGACTGAAAGGGCAGGTTCTTCCACAGAGACGCCTTTCTATCTAGGCCCCTGGGTGCCAGAAGGCACAGGTTGCCTTCACTCTTCCACCCCATACAAACACATAGGCACATGGTCACATAGTAGGAAGGGAAGGTACTCAAATGCTCAAAAATATGCAAGGAACAACTTCCACCTTGGTCACTTGTTTGTAATTGCCCTGGGACCATGGCCTGAGCTAAACAGCTCTAAATGCAAGTCCTGACAGTGCAACAAGGGCCTCTGTGACTGGAAGACATAAGAACTTGTAGAAGAAATGGGTTGAGCAATTTCTCTGCCTTGCAAATAGCTTTTGATTTCTACCAGCCCCATCTACAGTATCACTCCCAAGAAGCCCAAGAAAGGTTTCCCCGAAAGGTGAAGCAGCCTCTGGGAGGAATGTTAGAATGGGTGAGCCAAAGCAAGTCTCCTTTCTAAAAGTTTGGAGGGTGCCTATTAAGCCTCACCTTCCCTGCAGGCCCCTTCTGCAAAGGAGGACTCTAGAAAAGGGGCCTGGTAAGAAAAGACGGTTTCAAAATGTCAAGGACAACCTCCAACCCTCCCCTACCACACACACTCTTTTCTGTGGCATGAATGTATGTGCACTCACGTGTGTGCATATAAACATATGTGTGCATGTATGTGTGTGCATGTGTATATAAATGTATGTGTGTATTGTGTGCATGCATGCATGTGTGTGTTACTTGTGTTTGTGCATATGTATATATAAACATGTGTGCATGTATGTGTTGTGTGCATGTGTGTATGAATGCATGTGTGTGTGTGTGTATGCATGTATGTGTGTGCATGTGCTTGGTGTGTGTTTGACAGGAACATGTGCGTGCACGTGAATGAAATGGCGAGAGGTCAACTTCAGACGCTATTTGGATCATCCACACTATTTGTAGTGTCCGCTTGTTATTTTGTTCTTGTTTTTGTAATTCTTGAGACAATCTCTCACTGGCCTGTGCCTTTTGTCCAGTGGTTTCAGGTGAACTTTTCCTTATCAAGAAAAAGATGGGGAGAAGGGATTCAGGATTGCTAGGAGAGATGCTCAATGTTTGGGTCAGAGGGAAATGAACACTAGGAGCCCAGCCTTCCTCGCAGGAAGCTTGTCCTCCTTTGGGCATTCCCAGAAAGCTCACATAACCAGCCATCACCGTAGTTCCTTACATGGAAGTTTGAGGCCGGACAGCAAACCTCTCTTTAAGAACACGGAGTATCTGGAGGACTTAGAGAACAGAAAACATTGCCGCTCCTATAGGCTAGAACCATAAAGCAGATAAGTGACCCCCACTTCCAATGCAGTCCCAATCAGATCATTTTTTCAGGAGTGAGTGGGACAAACAGACTTGATCTTGGCTGGCGAACGAGGCTTCTCCCAGCTGCTCCAGGGGACTGGAGGAAACACAGCTCGAGATTGCATTACCAATTTCTGTTGGCCTAACACAATGAAAACCCACATCTAATTTGTTGTCCACTCTCCCTCAGGTCCCCTTCAGCATTTACTGCTTTCCAAATATCTTCCTCCCATTGAATATCTGTGTTTCAGATTATTCGTCCCCAGATGTATTAGGATGCATTTACTGCAGCTGCCTCTCATCTAGTGATTTCCTGTCCATATGCCTGACAGCTCCAGGTCCCTTTATGTCACATCTCTGTCATTGGTAGGGTTTATAATACCTCTCCATTTAGGGCCATATACAGATTTAATTAGCATATTCTTTACAACCTTCCCTAGGTTATTAACAAGGATACAGAGCACAGTGCGTACAACAATCCTGGTGGCACCCTGTGGCCTCTGAAAGGCTGCAGTGAAGAAGTCCATTTGCTGCTCTGAAAGGGCCCTGGATGAATTCCCTTCACCATGAAAGAGGCTGAAGGATGCTCGGTCCAGTATAATGAAGACGACATTGAGCCAATACCCATGTAAAGTAGATTGCAGTCCCAGCTCTGCTAGTAATAAGCTGCGACCTTGACAAAGACACTTCCCTGTTTGTTTAGTTAGGAGTAAAGAAGGCGGGTGAAGTCTCCCAAAGGTGGAAAGAGGATACTAATTCCTCAGATACTGACAAGGACAGCTTTTTACCGAGTTGCTATTATGTGCCAGTCGGTACCTTGTGTACATGTCTAACCCTCACCCTGAACCTGTGAGATTAATCTCAGCTTACAGTCTTTGAGAAGGAAACCAAACTGAAAGAATCACAGGACTTGCCAAAGGTCACAGTATTTTTTTAAAGTTCTGTTTAGCCGACGAGATGGCTCAGCAGGGAAAAGCCCTTGCTGTGGTGGCTCAGGATCTGAATTTAGTTCGGGAACCCAAGTGGAAAAGCCGTATGTGGTGACTGCATCTGCAGTCTCAGAGCCCTGCAGTGAGAGGGGAGGGGCAGTATGAGAAGCCTGGATGGAGTACCCACCAGGGCAAAACCAAGGAGACCATCTCTCACCAGAACTGAAGGAGAGAACTGACTTCTGAAAGCTATTCTCTGACCTTCGCAGGCATAATGTGGCATGAACACACGTGTACACTCAAAAATAAAAAGATCCAGTAAAATGGCTTAGTAGGTGAAGGGCCCTGCCTTCAAGCCTGATGACCCGAGTTCAATCCCCAGGAATCACATGGCATAACAAACCAACAAATAAATAAAATATAATAAAAAATTAAAACCAGTGTCTTGAATCTAATCTTGGCAGGTTTGACAAACCATACGATTCCTAATGAGCTGAGCCGTCTCAATTCAAAGAAAGCAGGCGATGTCTAAAAGAAGGGCTCCTGCCCCATCAAGCCTCTGCTTTTCCCTTGTCTCTTTGAGCAGTTGGTCTTCCCTGTACTTGACAGCCTAGCACACCCAAGTCCTCTCTCTATCAGGCAGAATGGCTCAGGGTTCAGAGACTCGAGACCGGCTGAAGTGCTCAGTTAGCAGGTGTTACCAGGAGGGTGTCACATTCTCAGATGAGGTTAGGAAGCAATGTCCAGTCCACTTCTTTGCCCCGTGAAATTTAGTGTCTTTCATTTTCCAGTGTACACTAGACGGCTCCCAAAGACAAACACAACATCCCACACCTGACCTTATTTAATCTGAGGAACCTATTAGGTAAACATAAAAAAAAAAAAAAAAAAAAACAGCCCTAGGCAGGAGAGATAAATCAGTCAGCAAAGTGCTCACTGTGCAAGCAAAGGGGCTTGAATTTGGATGCCCAGCACCCATGTGATAGCCCGGCCTGCACCTTTGTAAGCCCAGTGCTGTGGATACAGAGTCAGGGAGATCCTGGAGCTGGTCAGACAGTCCTGCTGAACTGGTGACTTTCAGACTCAGTGAGAGAATCTGGTTCAATGGAAAAGGTAAGGGAGTGATAAGGAAGGTGCCTGATGTCAGCTCTGGTCCCATACGCTTGTGTGTCTGCACAGACACAAGAACAAACAAAAAATAAATTTAAAAAACCCAAACAATAATCCGTTACTAGACTTTAGTAAGTAGTGAAGGAATAGATAAAATAAAATTGCAGGCCATCTGAGAGCGTGCAGCCTACTGATGGGCTCTTGCCTACCGCAGGATTAGCAAGGCACAGCCCACTAGAGGAAGCCCTGGGCCAAGTGCTGTATCACTCAGCCTGGCTGGCAGCTCTCCACATCTGAGTCCTTGATTCCAAGGGATCCAGGGAGGGCTTTCGGTCATCTTCCTTAACTTCTTTGATTTGTTTATTTGTTTGTTGTTTTTCCTTTATTTCCCACTTCCCAACCTCCAGGCCTACTCTGATGTTAAAATGAGTCCTTGAAAAATGATGCTTTTGGCTTTGCTTCTATGATTTTTTTAAATGTTTATTATTTTTTATTTATGTGCATATGTGTCTGTTACCAAGGGCAGTGTCCACAGAGGCCAGAATGGGATGTCGGCTTCCCCGGCACTGGAGTCACAAGTGGTTGTGAACCGCAGTGCATGGGTACTGGGAACAAAACTATGGTCCTCTACAAGACCAGCGAGTGCTCTTAACCACTAAGCCACTTCTCTTTCCCCCATTTCTGGGAGTTTTAAGGTATGTAAAGCACTGTGTATTTCATTTCTTAGTTTTAAAATTAAGTGATCTGTTTTGCATCCATGTTATAAAATAAAAGTTTTATTATTGTTAAAGTATAGTGAACCCAGCAGAAAAGGAGAGGGACATGGCAGCCACTGAGAAGGCCAGGACTCACAGCTATGGAACGGACGGGACATGCCAGTCTGCGCTGATCACCCAGGGAAGCACCAGGTAGGTAAGGAGCAGAGAGGGTAGAGATTTTGCTGTGGTTTGTACAGAAATCAATAAAAAAAAATGTAAGGTGATGTAAATAGGCCTGTGATTGAGCAGTCTGAATCATTTCAGTGGGCTTTGGGGTGTAGGGGGTACCCCTGAGAGGGTTGGCATAGAGGAATATGCCTCCTAGAACTAGATGGAATCCTTGCTGGTTGGTCTGTGTTTGAAATGCACATTCCTGGGTAACTTATTTGCAATATCCTAGAATTACCTAGCTCTGGGACGACAGCCGTTCCCTGATCAACTAAGTCCCAGATGCCAGAATATCAGAAATAAACAAAATATAATCAATACAATGAAGCCCATGGCGACATGCGTCCACCAGAACCTCCCTACGAACGGCTGCGCTGGACTCCAAGGCACCCACCACATTTCCTCCCCAGTCTCCCGTGTTTCCTTCTGCTCAAGGTGGCCTTCAGCTTTCCAGCACTACAAATAATCCTTTAATGAAAACCCTCATACACACCTCCTCATGGACCTATGTAGGAATTTCATTGGGCTATATATCTTGGAGTGGAATTGCTGGGTCAGGGGGTATGAGTATATTAATTCAACTCAGTGAAGCCAGGCTGCACTCCGGAATTGCTGCTTCATCCAGTCCAGCATGGACCTCCCCCACAACATCTATAATGCTTTCCGTGGTCCACTTTTGTAATTATTCCAGTCTGGTAAGCACAAAGTGATCATTTATTCTCATACCAATTTACATTTCTCTGATTTCTACGAAATTTGATCTCATTTATTTTTTGTTCCCTGTAACCTCCTAACACATGCTTGCCAAATCAATTCTAGGTAAGCAATAAACACCTAATGGGAAATGCCGGAATAGGTTTGCTGTGAGACATGGTGATGCACAAGCTACCTCCCTCTTGCCTGTCCCACCCTAAGTTTTTGGGCAAGAAGCTAATGATAGCAGGCATACATCTTTATGCTTTGATGACTGAGAATAAAACTGGTGCAACTATTTAAAATATAAGAAGTGAAGTATAGTATAATAGATAGCATGCAAACAAATAAAATATAAACATATAAATAAAATATAAAACATAATATAAAATATAAAAATGCAAGCAAAATGTGCTTATCTGGTCACCACATGTATATTTATACATACATATTGTACATACAGGTATTTCCCCTTCAGATAGACTACAAACCTAATTCTAAGTTGTGCATAGTTCTTTCAAATCTAAAACTGCAGAATAACCCTTGTAGAGATGAGCTGTCACTGATCCCACCTTAGGCCATTAGAAGGGTTAAAAAGAAAATGAAAAACTAAACTTAGTGTCTTCTAAAAAATATGCATTTTCCATAATGTCTGATTCGTGGTTATCTGACCTCATATGAACACATACAACACACAGGCAATCACCTGGTAATACTTTCATTTGGGGGGTCTGGGAGAAGGAGGGAGAAAGAGAGACAGAGGGGTTAAGTGTGAATACTACGAACACAGACAGATGCAAAAATCTGGTGTGGAACACTGGGAAGCATAGGAGAACTACCCGGACCAGGCCAGACATTCTCTGTTTTCTATTTCTCTGTCTCTCTTAAGAGAAGGAAGACCTTGCTGGAACTACAGAAAGTGAACTGGCGGCTCCAAGCATGCTTCCCACCTAGGATTCTCAGATGGAGGTGCCACGGTGTGAAGACCCACCCAACTTGAAGAGCGAAAATACTGACCTGCTCATTTAAAACACAAGCAAACTCTGACAGGCCACAGGCCTCTGGAAGGGGAATTTGCCTTCCAGAGCCCAACTATTCTCTGCTCTGACTCGTGCAGAAGGAGCAAATGGTGCCCTGGGCACACTCGTCCACACATCAGCCTGCAATTGCCAGTAAATCACCGCTGCAGTAGCTACTAGCATCCATAAAGCCTTTTGAGTTTTACAAGGTGTTTATAATGGGTAACTCACTATGATTTAGATGGAAAACATGAGTCAGCTCCTGAGACAAAGCTGATATGGGGACACTGGCCTTGTGGGATGACCTCTAGCAAGCATCCAAATAAATCACAGTCTCCCTCTGGGCCAAAGCTGGCCATTGTCTTGTACATATATTTTCAGAAGCTTGGCTGTGGGAGAACAGAGCCCTGGAGAATGGGGGTCCTCCCTAATGACAGGTCACAAGGAGAAAAGTGGTCCTCTCAGGGTATCTCACTGACAGGAAAGATGAGAAATGCTAAGTCTAGTGTAGAAGCTAAGCCTGGATCATTGGCAAGATTATAAACTTTTCCAGACCTCCAGGTGAATAGATATAGATATAGATATAGATATAGATATAGATATAGATATAGATATAGAT